CAGCAAAGCTGTCTGAGGAATTCTGGGAGTTGAAGTCCACAAGTCTTAAAGTTGCCAAGGTTGGAGACCCCTGATGTAGGGAGTCATTTGGGTCCTCTGACAGCAGGAGGGAGTTTGATAGACCTCACTTTGCTTACAGAATACTTCCCTGCATAAAAAGTGGTTGGTCTGCCTCTGAAAATTGGGAATTGTTGGGCAGGTTTTCTCTGGTAAGCTTTCAACCAATGCATTTCTCTCCTTTTTCAGGCTGGGGAACTCTTTGAAAAAATTCGGAATCCACAAAGAGCCCTGGAGTGCTATCGCAAGGGCAACTCATTTTTGAAAGGTAAGAACTCATCCTGAGGTTACACTTTGACTATAAGTTCTCAAACATTATATTTCCTACATTTGTATTGAGTGTTTATTGAAAAACATTAATATTAGAAGGTAGAATAACATCATTTACAGGTAACCCTTGTTTGGCAACCGCAATTCAGCAACTGAAGTGATTGAAGCAGTCCCTAAGTGAAAATCATGTGATCACGAGGGTGCTTACGATTTTACTTCAGTTTTTCTTTGCTTCTTGCTACGTCCTTCAGCCGAACTGGGCTTCTTTTTCCTTGACGATATTTTGGTATGAGATAAATAAGCAAGTGAAAATAAGAGCAGAGTGGCAATGTGAAGGTCGTAAATGGGAGGTCACTAAGTTGTTTTAGCACCAGTGTAACTTTGAAGGACCATTAACAAGGTAATCACTAAGTGAGGGCTACTTATATAGCACATCTTGTTTATGACAAAAAACCTCAAAAAGTAAAAAGGACCCAGGGAAGAGATATTTAAACTATTTACTAAGAGATATATTAAACATTTAATAATATTAATATTTAATAATATTAATATTAAATATTTAAACTATTTACTAAGAGATATTCAAACTATTTACTAAGTCTGCATTACTATTACTATTAATCCTCCCATCCTTCCTTTCACCCATCTCCTCCCACTTATGACTGTATGACTGTAACCTTGTTGCTTGTATCCTAATAATTCTTATTTACTGTTTTCTAGTATGATTTGATTGCTTATTGACTATGACTATTATGAAGTGTTGTACCTGATGATTCTTGACTCTTGACAAATGTATCTTTTCTTTTATGTACACTGAGAGCATTTGCACCAAGACAAGTTCCTTGTGTGTCCAATCACACTTGGCCAATAAAGAATTCTCTTCTATTCTATTTAGAAAAGGGTTTACAGCAGGGGTGTCCAACTCAAGGCCCACGGGCCAGATGCAGCCCACGGGGTGGTTATATCTGGCCCATGGGGCCGGCCTGGAAATATCAAAGGACCAGCCTGCGGTGCCTTTGCCGGCCAAAACGGGCCACACAGAGGCTTTGTGAAGCCCCTGCATGGCCTGGTTTTGGCCTCCCTGGCCTCCAGCAGCACTCTGCCAGCCAAAAACAGGCCACATGGAGGTCTCATGCCCCCCCGCCCCCCGTTTTGGCCAGCAAAGTGCTGTAGGAGGCCATCCAGGCTGAAAATAGGGTGCTGGGGTGGGAAGTGTGCACAGCCCCCCTGTGCCCCATTTTGGCCGGCAGGGTGCTGCAGGAGGCGTCCATCTTGTCTTCCCACCCCACCCCAGGTCCTCCCACCCCCACCCCACCGGGCTGCAGAGGATACTGATCCGGCCCTCAAAGAAATCCAGTGTGACACCCATGGTTTACAGTGTTTCCCCCTCCCATCCATGGATTGGCAGATTTAGGTTCTGCACCCTTCTTAAGCGACTTGCTTGTCCCAGATCTGGTCCTTTTAGTTCACTTTACATGCTCTTTGTTCTTTCTTTCCCTGCAGCTGTAGAACTTTCTCGTTCAGTTTTTCCAGCGGAAGTGGTAAAACTGGAGGAGGGCTGGGGAGATCACCTTGTACAACAGAAGCAACTAGATGCAGCTATCAATCACTACATTGAGGCCAGGTCTGTGGAGGATATACTGACTAGACTCTTTGGGGTTACCTTTCTTGTAGTTACTGGCACCCTGAAAGTTGTATGTTGGACTGGCAGGATCAGGGTGGGTCCTGTGGCAGCCTTGCTCTAAGGAATGTGATCTTTTCCAGGTGTGCTATCAAGGCCATTGAAGCAGCCATTGGGGCTCGGCAGTGGAAGAAAGCTATATACATTCTTGACATGCAGGATAGGAAAACAGCAGCCAAGTATTACCCCAAAATTGCCCAGCACTATGCAGCCTTGCAAGAGTATGAGGTAACAATTTCCTCCCTCCACACATACACACACTCCTCCATTGACACAATGGAAAACATAACAAGCTGTTTGTCCCTTTAGATAGCAGAGGAGCTGTATATCAAAGGAGACCACATCAAGGATGCCATTGATATGTACACCCAAGCTGGACATTGGGAGAAGGCACATAAGGTAAAAGCATTCCATGAAAATGCCCTTTTGTGTTCAGTGAATGCCAGAGGAGTATAGTAACACTTCTCAACCAATTCTTTGTCCCATCAAAAAAACCTTCAAGAAGTCTAATGTAGGAACAATTACAGGTAGTCCTTGACTTACCATGCAATTGGAACCAGAATTATAATTGTAAGTTGTGATGGTCATAAGTTGAGGCACTCATATGACTGAATCCACTTTTACAACTCTTTTTATGGTGGTGGTGAAGCGAATCACAGAATTCTAAGTCTAATCAAATCCCGAAATTGGTTTTTTTTAAAACCATAAATTGGCAAAAACGGTTGCAAATTTTGGTCATAGGACCACAGGATGTTGCAACCAGTCATAAATGTGATCCAGTTGCCAAGAGCCTGGAATTATGTTGCAACATTTTACTTTTTACAATGGCCAGAAGTGTTTTATAAGCTGTAAAGTACCTTTTCCAAGGCCATCACAATTCCAACTGTTCATTAAAGGGTTTTCTTACTGATGTCAAATTGCAATATTCTTCATTGTATTTTAAACCTATTGTTTCTTCCCTTTCCTTCTGGAATATCTCTGAGCTATTATATCCTCCCTCAATTTTCTCTTCTCCTAGCTAAACAAAAATTAATGCCTCCAGCCATTACAGGACTTACAGTAGTTTATTCAGTGACTGTTCAAAGTTACAACGGCACTAAAAAAAGTGGCTTATGACCCGTTTTTCACACTTTCAATGGTTGCAGCATCCCCATGGTCACGTGATCAAAATGCAGATGCTTGGCAACTGACTCATACTTATGACCGTTGCTGTGTCCCAGAGTTATGTGATCCCCTTTCTGTCAAGCAAAGTCAATGGGAAACCAGGTTCATTTAACAACCGTGTTACTAATTAAAGAACTGCAGTTGATTCATTTAACAAATGTGGTGAGAAAAGTCGTAAAATAGGGTAAAACTCACTGAACAAATTTCTCACTTAGCAACATACATTTTGATCTCAATTGTGGTCATAAGTTGAGGACTACCTGTACCCATACGTTTTTCCTTTCAGGCACATTATCTGCACACATTCTCACTAGATGCATTCTAGTTTGTCAGTGTCCTTCCCAAAATGCACCCAGAATTGGATGCAATAGGTGTGTTCTGGTCAACCCAGAGCAGAGAAGAATGAGGCATCAAATGGACCATGTGTTCCCAGTTCCAGAAAGTGCATTTGAATAAAGCTTGCAATGGGAGGGAGTGAAGCAATTTGGTTTGGTTATCCAGAATGGTTCAAAGTGGGGGTATTGTACATCTCTTGTGGGTATTTGGAGGATGGGAGTTTATCCTTTCATGCCCAGGCCCTGCTCCCATTTCTCCTTGCAGCTGGCATCAAAATGTATGAAGCCAGAGGATGTGTCAGTGCTGTACATTACACAAGCTCAGGAGCTGGAGCGACAGGGAAAATACAAGGAGGCTGAGAGGTAAGAGGTATTTCAGTTCTGTATCTTTTAAATCAGAAGACTGGAATTTGTAAGAGGCTGGGGGAAGAAAGAGGAGAGAAGCTTCCAACTGGTATAAACAAACTATTAAGTAGAACTCTTGGGGACATGGCAGTGAATCCCACAGGCTGAACTTTCGTTTCGCTAAGTTGCATGTATCACTACGGTAGTTCTAGGTGGGATCCTTATTTGGGGATGCAACATTTTCAGCGCCAAATTATGCTTTTTCCAGGCTCTACATAACTGTGGATGAACCAGACTTGGCTATTACGATGTACAAGAATTGCAAGATGTATGATGAGATGATTCGCCTGCTGGCCAAATACCACAAGGACCTGCTGAGCGATACACATTTGCACTTGGGCAAGGTAAAGCATTTGAGGAGAAGTCACAGAAGAAAAGGAGGTTTGGTGGCGACTTATTTTCCTGACTTATTTTTCAGGAACTGGAAGCTGACGGGCATCTGCAGGAGGCTGAATATCACTACCTTGAAGCCAAGGATTGGAAGGCAGCTGTAAACATGTATCGTGTGAACAATATGTGGGATGAGGCCTACAGGGTAAGAGCAGCATACACAACAGCTGGGGCATTAACTCTCTAAGCCACAAGTGTCAAACTCACCCGCATCAGGTTGCTGTTTTATGACTTTCCTATTCGCGGAACTGAGGTGGGCGTGGCCTGCGGGTGACACATCCGGCCCTCAGGCCATCAGTTTGACACTCCTGCTCTAAGCTGAGCTCAGAAGCTAAGTATGTGGTCCAGAATCACATTACTAGTGTACTTCCTACCTGTGTGTTTACTACATAGCCTTAAAGAGTAGACCATTAGGGGGGGTGCCAGAAGTAGGCATGCACAAAGAAGAGGCTGAAGGATAGACATATTCATTAATCTTGGAAAAGTTATGTTTGATGGGCAGCAACGGTAAGTTGCTTTAGGCCCAATTGTCCTTTCACCTCTGTTTTGATCTGCGACAGGTAGCAAAAGCTCACGGTGGAGCAAATTCTCACAAGCATGTGGCCTTCTTGTGGGCAAAGAGCCTTGGTGGAGAGGCTGCAGTGAAACTCCTCAACAAATTTGGACTTCTGGAAATGGCCATTGACCATGCAGCTGACAACAAGTAAGCAGCAAGGAGACCAAGACTTACTGGTGTATGCAAGTAAGGTCTCCCATTAGAAAGAAGGCAAGATCCGCCAATGCCTTGTCTCATACGAATCTGCCCATGGGTTCCAACAAGGCGTGGGACAGGTGCCCTTTCTTGTGTGGCTTGAGTGGTGTGCTTCTTTTGTAATAAATTTGTTTTTACCTCGTGACAGTTACCCTATAGTGGTATATAGTTTTCACTCTGCTGAAATTAAAGTGGTTTGGGATGGGAGATATAATTCCTCCTTCCACCTCCTTTTCTTCTTCCATAGCATTTTTGATTTTGCCTTTGAGTTGGCTAGACTCTCCCTGAAGCAGAAACTACCTGAGATCCACTTCAAATATGGCTCTTTCCTGGAAGATGAGGTAGAACCCCTTGTGCTTCTTAATAGTTACTCTCCTTCCTGGAGTAATGTGGTCCTGTAGTGAATATGCCACTCTTGTTAAATGCAGGGCAAGTTTGAAGAGGCAGAGGTGGAGTTTGTAAAGGCCGGGAAACCTAAAGAGGCAGTTCTAATGTGAGTGTACCTCCACCCTCCTATGATACTCTTACTTTCTGTCTCGGTCCTATTCCAGTGGTTTCATGTACTCCCTACTCACTTAGGTATGCTCATGCCCAGAACTGGGCTGCTGCCCAGCGAGTAGCTGAAGTCCACGACCCAGAGAGTGTAGTGATTGTGCTAGTTGGCCAAGCTGATGCTGCCTTCAAGCAAAAAGAGTTCCAGAAAGCAGAAGCTTTGTTGCTGCGGGCTCAGCGACTTGACCTTGCTGTGAAACACTACAAGGTAAATAGAAAAAAACACCAGGTCTGCTCTTATTTGGCAAAACGTTTTGGCTGGGCTGGGAGATGTTTAGTAAACTCTGGTCCTGCATGAAATTCACCATAGATGGCTTTTAAACCCCAATTTGTTACCCAATTGTTATTCTATTGCTCTGAGGAAGCCACTCTACTTGGACCAAATACCATCTTATTAAAACTACCTGGGGATTTCCAAAGAAATTGAATTCCATTCTCTGCAACCAGATGGTGATTGAAACATGATCGCATTTATTTGGTGATGGGAGCAGTAAATGAAATGGAATTTCAGAACAGCATACTAGCCAGGAGGAAATGATACTTCTTCCTGTTTTCTCTAGCAGTGTCAAAGATGCTGGTGGCCAACAACATAGGCATTGGCTTAATAAAACAAACCATGCTGGTTTTGAATGATCTTTTCCCCATTGCAAATTAAATGTTGCGTGATATATCTTGCAGTGGTTAGGCAAGGCAACTTTCTGCTGACTTCCCACAACCAATGTAGTGGAGAAGCCAGCTGGAAGTGTTAAGTGTAAGTAGCTGCTGCTGGGTGGGGGAGGAAGTGAGAGGGTGCATGGGAAAGGCACTACAAGAGCTGGGGAAGGTGCACAAGAGAGTGCATGAGCGTGTGAGTCAGGAAGGGTACATGGGGGTGCAACACAGATCAAGGGGGAAGCATGATGTACAGCACCAGTCCATAGGGGTGTGCAAATGGCTGGCATTGCATGAGCCCAGAAGGGCTGGGTGAGGGTGCACAAGTGGGGGAGATTTACCACAGTGACCTGTAACCTTCCTGCTGGTTTCCCTATTGACTTCTGGGGAACCTGACAGGGAAGATTGCTAACGGTGATCACAGGACATTGTAATTGGTTGTTAAGTGCAAAGTGGTTGCCAAGATTGTGATCATGATTGACCAAGGATGCTAGGACAGCCAGAACTTGTCATAATTGCCATTCATTCAGCACCATTATAGTTTTAAACAGTTGCTGAACAAATAATCCTAAATCAAGGACTATCTGTAGTTCCCAAGGGTAAAAGTCATGACAGTTATAATTACAATTGTTCTTTTTTTTTCCCCCACGGGGAAAAAGATAGAGGATTTTCTCCCTTTTTCCTTTGCCAAATAAGGATACTTTTCATGATTTCTTTCCCCAGGAAGCTGCTATGTGGACTGATGCTCTCCGAATCTGTAAAGAATTTTTACCTGGAGATCTGGAGGCTCTACAGGAAGAGTATGAACGGGAGGTGGCTAAAAAAGGACCCAGGTATACAGGTCATGAGAGGTATGGGAAAGTTTCTGGAAGCTGGCTTGCTGATAGGCAAAAGTCACTCAGCCCTAAGATTAAGGCTGGGTTTCTCAAAGACCTAACCACTTAGCCTTCTTTTATTGAGCTTTCTATAACTAATTGTTTCAAAGGACTATGATCTTCTCAGTCTTTAAGCTACCTCTGGGACAATCCTTCTAATTCTGTGGAATAGAATAGATAGGAGTTTCAACATCGAGCTGTAGGGAATCTCCTGGTCCCTTTCTGGACATTGACTAAGATTCTGTTGATTGGTAGGGGCACTGAGGGCCTCCTGGAGCAGGCCCGTGAGTGGGAGCAAGCAGGCGAATACGCCAGAGCTGTGGACTGCTATCTCAAGGTGCGGGACCCCAGCAACAATGCATTGATGGAAAAATGTTCCATGAAGGTAGGAAATTGCTCGAACTTCACCTTGCCTTCCCTGCTTATGGCATTTGGATGCATACAATGTTCTTGAAGGAGAGAAATGGGGGAATTCTTTTGGCAAGTGAGACTTTCTAAATCAGTTGATCCTCTGCTTTGCTTTTTACATTCAAGCGAGGTTTGCCTTTTGATTGTCGCCATTCAGTTGCTCTTTTTCCAAAAGTTCAAAATTTACCAGTCCAAATTGTCTCTGATAAGAGTATTGTAAGCTGTAAATAATTATGGCAGGAGTCTCTGCACAAAGAAACAGTACTGTACAAGGGACATTTCTTCATTTGTGAATGCTTCTTTTCATGTCAGGCAGCTGAACTTTCTATCAAGTTTCTTGGCCAGCCACGGAGCGTTGAAGTGATGAGGACAGTGGGACCCCAGCTGGTCAGCATTGGCAAGTTCAGCGTGGTAAGAGTTTTCTGAACTGCAGTTTAGTCTCATCTTTGCTTGTAAAAAATATTTTTCCCCTGGAGTTTTTTAAGATTGGAAAGAGGACACAAACAGGATAAAAATATTCCAATGAAACATTTTCCTTTAGAATACTGAAAGAAATGATTCATGTTTTCTATTGTAATAGGAAGACTTTTATGTATACAGAAGACAAGCTGTGCAGTCCAGTTCTCCAATGCTAATAAAAAAGGAATTTCTGTCCCCAGAGGGCAAAATGATATTTTTACCAATGAAGAAAGGAGAATTCAGTTTCTGTGAAAAATCAGTATCTGTGGCTGACTCTTTACATAGAGGTTGGTGGGTCTGTTCTTGACTAGCCTCAAAGGATAGAAGCATAAAGGAATGCCAGAACAAAAGTTTTAAAAATCTTTAAAAATAAATTCAATTACTACAAGTAGTCATTGATGAAATTAGAGTTTTACATTTAATAAATATTCCAAGCATTATTGTATGCGGAAATATGTTAAACATATTCTCCTGCATGTTTTTAACTTAGCCAAGTGAATTTAAATCGATAGTGTGGTATGCAAATAAATATTGCATATATTTTAATTTTTTCCAACATTTCCATTTTTTAAAAATAAGTTTTTTCTGTAGTTTCAAAATTCTTGTAGGTTATCTCTTTTCAGGCCAGACATGCAATGAGCCTACAACCTCTCTGTACAGCCCCAAAATTCATATCTACTTCTATTTTGATACATGATAGAAATTTCTCTCTTAGGCGGTAGAGCTATACCTCAACCTTGATCTAATCAAGGAAGCCATCGATGCCCTCATGGAGGGGGAAGAGTGGAACAAAGCTAAGTGTGTGGCCAAAGAGCTTGACCCCAGGTACTAAACTCTACTTCCGAGTGTGGTTTGTAAATTATACAGTTTGAATAAGAACACATAATGCGGCTTAGGTGGAAGGCTGTCAGTTTCTCAGGCCTACTGTTGCATTCACCTTATTACTAAGGTTGTCACCTTATTACTAGGACAGAAATGACAAACTTTCTTTGTGGCAGATATGAAGAATATGTGGATCAACATTATAAAGAATATCTCAAGAATCAAGGCAAAGTAGATTCGGTGAGAAGGAATCTTGAGTGGGATGAAGGGGAAAGTGGGAGGCACTGAAAGTTGGGAGATAACTTTAATAGTTTGAAGAACCTTTACATCTATATAAATAAAAATGTGACAGATTTTTGAAGTGCAGCTTAAATCGAATACATCTGTCATTCTTCCATCAGTAATTAGTTTGGAAAACGTTAAAAACTGTGAGTGGATGGTCAAAAATCAAAGGGGTTAGGAAAATTTAAATCAAAACTGTCAGCAACTGCTTTTTTTACACAAAGTCTTGATGCAGGCCAAACATAAACTGGCAATTCTAGAAGGGGACTTGAGAATATGAGATGGGGTTAGGTGTATAAACAGATAAAACTGCCCAGGTTGGTTCTGCTGTCTGATTATTGTTTAAGTGACTGACTTATAGCTGATCTCTTTGACAGCTTGTGGGCGTGGATGTTATGGCTGCCCTCGATATGTATGTGGAAAGGGGGCAGTGGGAGAAGTGCCTGGAGACAGCTGCCAAGCAGGTATGTGAAAGGCCCCAAGTGGTTCTTCTGTGAAAGGAGCCAAATGTTGTCTGACCACACACCCTAAGCATCTTAGTTTCCTCCAAAGGTGTCTAAAACATTGAGTTTGGTAGATCTATGAAACCAAGGGAATTGAGTCAACCTTCCATTCCGCACTGCTTTAGTTAGGGGCCAAAGATCTGTCTGCAAAAGTGACCGAAAAGAAACTGTCATTCAACTATGAAAGCCAGTTTTTAAAACACCAGAGTAGAAAGTGGGAGACTGTGAGTTCAAGTTATGCCTTAGCCATGAAAACCAGCTGGATGATCTTAGGCCAGTCACTCGGTCTCAGCCCAACCCACTTCACAGAGGAATTGTTATGGGGAAAATGGGCGGGAAGTGTGTTGGATATGTTTGGGGCCTTCAGTTATTTGTAAAAACAATAAATACAAATAAATAACAAGCATGAGATGAATAGTTAATATAAACCAAATGTATAAATAAATAAATAATATCCATGTAGCTATCACCCTGCTGGCACTCCAGAAAGCCTTAAAGACCAGGCTGTTCTCTCAGGCTTTGGGCTCAGGTGGTTGCCTTCACTTCCCCAGATTGTGTGTGATTAGAAAAATACACCATCACTTCTTGTTTTATTTTTATTCTGTTGGTTTGGAGATGGGCATTAAATTCATTTAATTTGAATGAATGAAATTATCCATCAAGGCATCATGCTGAGCCTTCAGGAGAAATTATTGGCATTTCTGTTAGATTTATACTGACAGTGCCTGTTCGGTGTAGTGCTGACTGCTTGCACAGAACTGATTGGGATAAAGTTGGATTTCAGAACTGATGAATGGAGCATCAGTTTGGACTGAATGCAAACAAAGGTGTTTTTTTTTCACTAGGAAATGGGAAACACTAAAGATACATAGTTCACCCAGAAAGGAATTCTCCTACTTGACCAGATCATTTCTCATAATGGAAAACTGCTATTTGTTTTACAGTCTTCCATATTATTTTGTTCCTCTTTTGGCTTTTTACAGAACTATAAAGTGCTGCATAAATATGTGGCTCTTTATGCCACATACTTGATCCGCGAGAACAGTTGGGACAAAGTCTTGAGCCTCTATGTTCAGAATGGTGCTCCTGCCAATGCCCAGGTAAGGTATTAGTCCCAGCTGGCGAGGAAAATTTGCTTGCTTCTGTTAATAGTAAAGCTGTTCTCATATTTTCTCTTCAGAATTTCAATATTTATAAACGACTATTTGTGGAGATAGTGAATGCAGCCAATATGAATCGGCCAGAGGCTTATCACAGCTGGGCTGATTTGCGGGACCTGCTTTTCAACCTGGTGAGCACAGCTTAAAGTAAATGTATGATGTACCATTGAATGTAAAGTGCCTGATCTTCATTTTACTCCTCTGTGCACTGCTGCTAATACCACACACGGGTTTTTCTAAATAAAGCTGCAGTGCAAAATATCTGCGTGGTACCACTCTATATTTTCAGAGAGAGCAGCTTTTTCATTATTACTCAATCTCTTTGGTGGGGTAAATAAAATGTTTAGATAGCCCTAAATGAGACCACAAATCTGTGTTTCTTTCTTTTTAACAAACATGTAAGATAAAGGATTTTTTTTTTCCAATTTCAAGTTTGATTCCAGCAAACTTACATGATCCCTTCTTACAGTGTGAAAATTTAGGGAAATCAAATGAAGCCAACTCACCAGCTCATGAGGAGTTTGAAACCATGTTGCTTATATCCCACTACTATGCTACACGATCTGCAGCCCAAAGCATCAAACAGCTGGTAAGAGAAGAGTGGCAGCAGGTCAAACTTACTAGTCTCTGGCTTGTTCCTGAACCCTAGATTTCTTACCGTTTCACTTCCTTCCGCATGGAGTTCTGATTGCATTATCTTTGATAAAGATACAGTATTTGTTAATAGAGTTTCAGATTTGGATGGCTACAAAGTCTGTGGGCCTTGTGCAACTGGTTACCAAGTATGTCTGTTTAGGTTTGCCAGTCATGAAAGACTAGTTCTTATGACATCTCTCAGTCATTTGTTTGCAACTTCATTTTCTCACAAAGAGTCCTACTTTCAGAACTCTTTTCCTTGTTAGGTTCATTGTGTATTTCACTTTGCACAAATATCAAATTGCAATCTTGGATATCTAAGTTCCTTTCCTGAGACTTTGGAGGGAGAGGGTGACTGTCTCTTAATTTATTTAACTTATGACTTATAATTACAGGCAGTATTTTTAAAAAGAAGGCAAGGGTGGGGCAACTAGCTCCACTTGAATAGACTACTTTTGTCTGAGTTGGGCTGGTTTGTCTGAAGAAGTGCCGTCCCTTAAGAATAGAAGGTAGGGAACAAAATTTGAACTTGTTTTTTTTGCCCCCCCAGGAAACTGTGGCAGCCAAGCTCTCCATCTCTTTGTTGCGCCATACTGAGATCATTCCAGCAGACAAGGCCTTCTATGAAGCAGGGACAGCAGCTAAGGTGAGGAGCAGGAAACTCCTGTTTATAGATCACATCCAGGTAGTTGGGTGGGGAAATACATAGCCAATTAATGCCAAATGAAGCAAAACAGGGAAATGGCCGGTTCCTTGTATGATTTGTAAGAATGTGACAAACTTGCACTGTCTTCGTGAGGATTCCACCTCTTACATTCAGAATCACCTTTAGATTTTGTTTCAAACAAATGATCTCTAGCAAATCTTTAAAAGGATTGAAGCATTTTACAATATTAAGAAAGGCCAAATGATCAAGAGAACTAAAGCAGCGTATCCACCATCTCAGTCCAGATGGACTCTAGGCAGAGACAGTAGGCAGAGACTCTAAGAAATTACAATAATTGGATTGTTGAGCATGGTAAAAGGCAAGATGAGATAAATACAATATATAGCACTAGTAAAGTGGAGAAGAATCACTGTTTTCCTTTCTCAAAATATTAGACTCATGATCATCCCATTAGAGTTAAATGGTGGCACATGATTGACAATGCTCATTTAAACTGTAGAATTTGCTTTCACACAATGTAGCAATGCCTGCCAATTTAGGTACCTTAAAAAGGATTAAACAAGATAATATATTGTGATGTCTGTAAGTTTCCCTATAAAAGTGACCTTATTTTTTGCAGATCGTACAGAAAAGTCATTGTTCATATTATATTTAGCAGGCTTTATACTTGCATCTATCAGATTACTGTTGAATGAGAACATTAGATTATCAAGTCTTCATCTAATCCCACAGATAAATGTGAGAGAGAGATTTTCTTTTGATTCTAATTAAGCTTTTTTTTTTTTTTTTTTAAAAAGTACTTTTGTGGAGCACAATTTCCAATATGCTACTTAAAAGTCCAGCAATCTTAGCTTGAAAACATTTCAACGCTTTTGCCATGTTGAACTGAAATCAGTTTTGACTTTTGGCAGAGAACTGGGAAAGTTAGTTCATCCTCCTCTTTCATCTTTCCAGGCTGTTGGTTGGCAGAACATGGCTTTTATCTTCCTAAACCGTTTCCTTGATTTGACTGATGTGAGTTTTATCTGAGACGCTTGAGAATGGTGGGGAGGGAAAAGGACTCCATGGTGTTTTTTTTTCTGATGTTATTTGCTCTCCTAGGCAATTGAAGAGGGCTCCCTTGATGCTCTAGACCACTCAGACTTCCAGAATACAGACATCCCTTTTGAAGTGCCACTGCCTGCCAAGCCACATATCTCAGTGAGTGTGTTGTCATATGCATGTGCAATTTTCATTTCATTTGTATTTTGAGCAGGGAAGACAATATTTCTAAGGGCTATGGAAAAGGATATTCCTTGCTGGATTCCCAGTCCAGTTGACTCGTGCACTTCCACCATCCATCCCAAAGTACTGCTGCCACTTTTCATTCATTCCAAGTGTCATATGTCTATCTGTGCTAGGAAGACCAGCGTGAGGAGATCCGTGACTGGGTTCTCACTGTCTCCATGGATCAGCGGTTGGAACAGGTGTTACCGCAAGATGAACGTGATACTTACGAAGCTTCTCTGGTAGCGGCGAGCACAGGTGTGCGCTCCCTGCCCTGCCTTATCACAGGTAAGCGTGACATTTCAACATGGCTGAAGCTATAATGGAACATATTCCATCTTCTTTCCTCCATAAGATTTTCTCCCCCACACCCCAATATAAACTTTTCCACTTTTTCAGACCCTATTCTCATCCACCGTGGAAGAATAAGGGGAGAGAAAGTATTTTAACTTGACTCATAGTTATTTAGAAAGCCCCTCTTCTTCCAAACTCCTATAGAAAAATATATGGTGCTGCTTTGCTTATGTTCAGAAGAATGTTAAACTTAACTTCTACTCTGCATAAGGAGCCTCGGTGACACAGTGGTTAGAGTGCAGTACTGCAAGCTACTTCTGCTGCAGCCAGCTGCCTACAATTTGGCAGTTCAAACCTCACCAGGCTCAAGGTTGACTCAGCCTTCCATCCTTCTGAGATGGGTAAAATGAGGACCCAAACTGTTGAGGGCAATATGCTGACTCTGTAATCTTCTTCTAGTTCATTGCGTTATGATAGGCAGTAAAAAAACAAGACAAACAATTACAGCATTCAGAATGAATTTAACTATAAGGATTACTCACAATCTTTCAAAATAAAGACATAGAGTAAAATAATAAAACAAGGCACCATGTATAATTTAGGGGAGAAATGAATTCCAGAACATGGGAGTAATCACAGAGAAGGCCTGACAGATCTTATTAACACCCCATGAATTTCACAACACGGAGAAAATTTCAACATGGAGAGAATTTCATCAGGACATCCTAAATGTTTGAACTGGATTGGATGGATAGAATCAATTATATTAAGCTCATGTCTGATATAACTTTATTTGATGTCTTAACCATTACACCAAACTAGTTCATTAGTCAGGTCTGATATACTTTGTTTTATGTCTGATATAACCTTCTGCTATTTATTTATTTATTGAATTTATATTGCCGCCTATTCGCTCATACTATAGCATATGTATATACTAAGGCTATAGGGTCATATACCGCTAGTCCTCGACTTACGCTTCATTTAGTGACTATTCGAACTTACAACAGCACTGAAAAAAGTGACTTATGACCATGTTTCACACTTGACCATTGCAGCATCCCCCATGGACACGTGATCAAAATTCAGATGCTTGGAAACTGATCCATATTGCACTGTCCCGGGATAATTGATCATTTTTTGCAACTTTCTGAAAAGCAAAGTCAATGAGGAAGCCAGATTCACTTAACAACTGGGGCAAGAAAGATCAAAGCATGGGGCAAAACTCAACAGCTATCTTGTTTAGTCATGGGAATTTGGGACTCAGTTGTGATCTTAAGTTGAAGACTACCCTGTACGAAGGCATTCAATATTTAAAATAGTCCAAATTAATATCTAGTGTAATCAAGAAGCTAAACTGAGATTCAACAGAATATTGTTTGCCAAAATTTGAACAGAGAAATTATTTGCAGGGAAGGAACCTACTCCTTCAGCTGTTTTACAATATGTTAGACCCTCTTTATGCCCTTTGAATATGTTTTGTTTTCCTTCTTCCCACTCAGGCTATCCTGTACTAAGAAATAAGGTGGAATTCAAGTGTCCTGGCAAAGAGGCAAACAAGGAAAGCTGGAACAAGTTTTTGATGGCAGTCAAGGTGAGGAAGAGAATGAAGGTATAAGAAAGCAAGCTAGTAATCATAAGTAGAAGAGGGCACAGGGCAAGAAAAGTAGGCAAGCTTGCCCTATAGTCTAAATCTATAAATTTTGATCTCAGCCCTAGCTTTTCTCCTGCCTTCCTTGCAGATGTCACACAGCCCCCCCTGCCAGGATGTTCTCAAGTTCATCAGCCAGTGGTGTGGAGGGCTGCCCAGCACCAGCTTCTCCTTCCAGTGACCACCTCAGCCAGAGCATTTCCTTAAGTCTTCAACCCCCTTTAGATATTTATTCTCCCATATTAAATATCTTGTTTATATAATGGTATTGTCTGCCTTCTTTACTTGATGTAATTATTATCCGGTATGTCAAATGTCCTGCAACTCTAGAAACTCAAGAGAGATGACAAAAGATAACAGTACGAAAGGGGAGGCTGTGGAAAATTGGATTATAATGGTCATTCTGCATTGGAACAAAGCTCACTTTGGCACAGGATTACTTTTCCAATGGAGCCAATAGGCAACTGCCTCCAATCTGTAATCATTTGGCTAGTGTGAACTATATGTTTAAGTTTGTGGTTTTCTTCCAACTGATCTAAAGGCATTAGATGAGGAAGCCTATTTTAAAGACTGATTATTTTCTCTAAAAGCCAAGCAGGGTCAAACCTGTTTGGTACTTGTAGTGGAGGCCACTAAGACATTTCAAGGCTATAAGCTAACTTGGATTTTTTTATTTTTTTTAAAAAATCATCCTTCAAGAAACCATTAGTGAATGAATTCATGAAGGCATCTGGAGTTGAGTTCAATTCAGAGACATTTACCTTGACTTGAAAACAGAAACACCCATAATTAAAACTGTAAATAACTGTAACTGTAGTGTGTAATATATACCATGCAGAAATTAAAGGAGGTTAAGCCAATAATAAAAATGACAGAACAAGAGTATCGGAATAATAAATTAAAATATCACATTTCTGATGCTACTTCACAAATTGCCTGGGCCTCTGGCCCATTGGAAAAACAAGATTTTAAAGCTTCCCTAAAGGACAAGAAAATTGGGTACCATGCAGGTATCAGGGAAATGCTGTTCTAAAGGGCAGGAAGAACAGAGAGAAGACATATTTCTTCAGGTTCTTATTAGATGGACATTATTTTATTGATGTTTCATGTAGAATGCCAATCTTACCAGACTTTACAATTGGAGAAAGGTAGTGTTGCAACTATCCATGCCCTAAGCCACGTAGCTGTGATGTGTCCATATATACAAAGATAAAACTTGTACAAGACATGGTATTCCCTGTCACTCCCTATGTTTCATTTCCTGTGGAACCGGAACATTGAAGAATCAAGAAAGGAAGAGTTTGAACTTTGATGTTAGAGAAGATTTCTGAGAATATTGGGGCCAAGAAAATAAACCAACGGATCATCCGACAAATCAACCCAGAGTTCTCACTTGCACAAATTCTTCTATTTTTGACATATTATACAAGACCTAACTCTCTGGAGAAGCTCCATCTCCAAGAAAGGTGGAAGGAAAAAGAAGATGATGATCAGTAGCAAGTTCAGTTATAGAATGCACCTTTGGGAGTTCTAAAAAAAGAGCCATGGGCTGTCAAGGGAAAACATGGTCATTAGGAGTCAAAAATGATTTGATCAATCAATTGAAGCAATATAGATATCAACCAGCACCATGAGTTGCAGTGGGAAGCTAGCTGTAAAGTCATAACTGATACATAAGAAGTAAGGGTCCTTCTGACATGCTTCCACTTACTTCTTAAGAGATGCAAATCTAGAAAGAGCTTCTGATGACATATTTTTTCCCTCTGGGGAAGTGCAACATCATCCAGATCTAAAGCTGAAAAGCTATTTGAAATAAATGAACTTGGAATCCATACCCACAGTGTTGCTGGGGTTGAGTCCAAACCTGCTCCTCACTATTCAGATCTTAACAACCTCCAAGCTATGTGAAAACTGTGAGCTAGTTAGCTGAAGCTATATATTTTCTTGTAAGTCAGGCATTGGAAGCCTTATCTGCAACTTTGTTTAGTCCCCACAACAGGTGTTTATGCCTCCTGGTGAGACCAGTTAATCCTTCAGAAAGTTTCCAATTACTAAGCAACCATACTGTCACTGTGCTATTCTTAACATGGCAACAAAGTGCTTCCTACTGATTTTAGGTGGTTGGCGAATACTGATGTGCTAATGAGAGTCAAGGCTTTTCTGTAGTTTCAAGGTGCAGAATGCAATAGGACTACTTTTTCCCCATACTTCACCCATTTCACATAGAAAGCAGTGATTATCATGCTGTGTAGAATAAGTCTGAATTCAGCACACGTTTACATTCCAAATTCATTTTTTTCATTCCAATTTGACCATGTGTTCCAACCTTAGAACACTTCCCAAAAGATCAAAACTTGCTCTTTCAATCTTGAAGTCACTTACATTCAAACTGTTTTGCATACCAAGTGCTGATGCAATACTCTTAAGCCTCTTGCACTAGAGACTTGTGTTCTTACCCTTTGAGGTTTCAATTAAATAGAATGATATAGGTAAGGAGCTAACACCTGGTCCCCAAGTCCAATTCAGCTGACTGATGCAACCCATGTGATGCTATACATTAAAAGGGAGCAAGAGCTGCAACTTAGAGTCTGCATATTCACCATTAGACAGAATTGTAAGTACCTTTTATCTGTATCAGGAGCTGCATAAGATAAAAGTAATCAGCTACTTAGAAGCTGAGGACTTGGCAGCACAAGGATACAACAACCAATCACTGGCTGTCAACATATCAATCAACCAATAGGAAAGCACCACACAAACACAGAACAGCTCAAAGCACGTATTCTGGTAGAGAGAAGTTCCCTGAGGATGGGCTCTAACATGAGTCTGAAAGCTCAGAAGACTAAACCTCTGGTCCCAGGGAGGAACCCAAACTGGATCTTGCAATTATCCTGGGACACATATATTTGTCTTCATTCGTAAAAGCAATCATCTCAACACTGGAAATTTTTTTCCTGTTCCACATAGAATTGTTAATACGGGGAGGTCTTCAGATGTGAGCCTACATAAAATAGGATCTTCTTCAGATGTTACCTAGACATGCCTGCAAAAAAAACAAACTCAGAGAAGTCACACAACCCAGAACCTAATAATATTTGCTGTAGAACATAGTTCCCAGAAAGCAAGAGAGCATTTTTCTTGCCTTTTTAAAGCAAAAGCTGGCTAAAATTGTGAGCATTTTTTTGGTGAATAAGCAGAGGCCAAAGAGAGGTTTAGATTCAACCTGGATGAGATAATCCCTTTTAAAATATGAAAGCAGAAATCAAGAAACTTCAGGAGTACAAACAGCCCAACAACCAACCACTCCTGCCCTTTCCCAATGAGCAGGAGATTGCCTTAAGTGGCTCCTTTTAACTCTGTGATTCCAATTCCCAGATTCTAATCACAAACAGGTTGCAGTTAATTATTTACAAAACAATTTATTAAAAATAGGAACAGAAATGACACTTGGAACAGCTCCAGCACAGGAAGAGTTGAATTTCTCTGATAAACTGGCCCCAAGCCTGCAGGCATTAGATAATATCCTAAAGGAAAAGATGGTTTCACATTTGCCACCTGCTATCTGAACTGGAACTTCCTATCTACTACCTCTATTGACCAGAGGGAACCCTCACACCACACAATAGATGCAGCCAAGGATACTGGAAGCAAGGCTGGTGCATGAAGCAACTGTGGGAAGGAGAAGAGTCCATTTGGAGGGGGTAAGGCAATGACTATGGGGCTAGAGAGTGCATGTGTAATGTGGAGGGCCAGCATGGAACGGGGTAGAACTTAACTTCTCCATCCCTCCCACCCTTTTAAATAACAAGACAGATTTCTGTGCTGTGCAAAAAAAACCTCTGTACAATTCAAGCAAAAGAAAACTCCATGCATGTGAGCCCCAAAAGAGAGAGAGGAAAGGAAGGCCATTGGCCACAGGGAAAATAATACTGACAAGGCACACAGCCCTCCCCCCACCACCCTTGCCCCCCTGCCTTTAAGACTGGCAACGATTGTCTGCAGGACCTGGCTATAACACATGCGGGAGGCACATCCAAGCTGGCAACGGTGGTGGCAGCGGCTTAGAGTAGTACCCTACACAGATGCAGAGCAGGTACACCTGCTAGCAGCAAGATGGCCATTATGATGACACGGTGACAGCTGCCAGTGCCCCATTCCGCGAATAGAAGAACTTGTTGAATGCCTCTTCAAGTAAACAGCTAAGCCGGCTTTGATCAGCCTGCAAAAGAATGGGGGAAAAAAACACTGTAAGAAAACCTGTTCCTATACTCTTATTGGCTACAATGAAGTTCCCCAGAAAAAGAAGAAAATAAATCTTTTGGTGAACAGGACTGATACTTGCCTCACTGATGAATCCTAACTGAACCAATTCAGCTGCCAGTTCCTGAATATTGTCACCTAAGGAAGGAAAATGAGAGAGTTGGTATGTTTTCTAAGATGGAAAAGAGAAGAGAAGAGAAGAGAAGAGAAGAGAAGAGAAGAGAAGAGAA